AATTTCTAATCTAACAAAATGCGAGCTTGAATTTGTATTCAAAATATAAATTGTTCTTATTTCAAATCAAGTAAAGAATCTTTGTTTGCATTTTCTTCACGTGATGAATGGAGTGGTAACACTCTGTTCTATAAATGGAAATGCTACCGAGGCATATTGTGTTCAACCGCAACTTCTTCTCCTTCACCTCCCATTAAAAATATGTAATAGTTATAAAGGGTTATTGCTCTTGTTAAAAAAAAGAAAAAAAGAAAAAAAAATCTTTTTCTACTTTTGAATAATCTATTTCGAGTGGGTCCGAATCCAAATTTTATGGCATTGTTGAATTTTGGGTTGCCGCTTAATTATTCAATATGTAGGGGTTTTGGGAAATGATTTGCGGAGGTTATTTTTACAACTTTTGTTTGTAATTTGATCATGGACAAAAGGTTTGACGAGGGCTCCAAAGACTTTGTACTTCGCCTATCATGCCTTTAAATTAAGCTGTAATTCTCGGGAATGTTTTTTATGTTTTTTTGTTCATATCATGTGATGCATACATTACAAATGACTACATTCAATTTAAATACCGTATAGATTAAGTTGTAAACTACAACCACTTAAAGTGGTTTATAATAATTTTTTTAATAAAAATAAAAGATATTAAATTCAAGTGACATGAAATATTGTATGGGTAGAATAAATTAAGAAATAAAATAAGATTAAATTGCTTTATATTATGCAACCTAAAATCACAATACCATTTAACAACAAACTAAAAAAATCTAGACATAGTACGAAGCAAGGCAGGACTGGTAGGCAGAAACAAAACAATAATAATGATAATAACAATAATAATTATAATAACAATAAAAATATACTGTTTAACAGTACAGATTGTTTCAAATATAAAATATTTTTTTTATAACAATAATAAAAATCCAAAACCATCCAAGATTGAAGCTAGAGAAAAATGGTCGTGTAAAAACCCCAAATGGCAGAAATCATGGGGGGACCTTGGAACAAATTTTGACTTCACTTTAGATTTCTTCTAGTTAGCATTTTTTCCCCGTAAAACATTGGTCACAATGCCATATTTTGCCATCCACAGTTATCCAAACTATTCTTCCCTAAATTGCCATTGTTGATCAGATAATAAAACAATTTTTTTATGGTAAAAATAAAAATTTTATTATGTTGGGTATAAAGAATACTCTTACCCATTTACATCACATTATTAATTTTACTATTATAATTTAAATTTCTATTATTCTACAACAAACCTCTAGATAAATAATCCAATCATACAATAAGAACGCACATCCACTAACCCTATTCTTTATCCACAAAAAGGATTTAATGTGAATTACCTCCACTAATCTATCTGAAGAGAAATTAAGAACAATGATAGAAAAGAGAATATTGAATTATATTCAAATTTTCATGTTTGTTCTGTACAATGACATATGTATATATAATATTTACATGACATGTTTCCACGCCTAGAATTATGCAGAAGATTGTTGTTTTGACCGTTGCTTAATTTCTACATTATGACAGTTGAGGAATTATGACAGATAATTCCCTTCCTCTTTTGCTGCTATTT